CTTCAAAGTGTATTTTTGCATGGATCCATTTTATGGCGAGCGGTATAGCGCTATTCCTGCCTTTGAATTCTGGTTGCCTGAGGCAACTCCTCTAACTGATTAAGTAGAATATTTCCCCTGCTTTCTTCTGTCCCTCAACAAATACTGACCGTGCATTGAATATGAGCTGTATGATGGCATTGGGGCAATGCCCTGATTATTATAGTGAACGAACTTCCTAGAAGAGGAGGTGCCTGAGTTGGGTCCTCAATGGTGCTTGGAGTCAGCCAGGTGAACAGGGGGAGGTGACGCAAACTAGCTCAAGGGCCAGAGGCATGGAACAGTATGTGTAGTCCCGAGACCTTTAGTAGTTTAATACTGCCATGTTGTAAAGTGTGTCAGGGGAAACTGAGAGCCGGCTGGGGTGGAATGCCCTGCAGGCCACCCTGAGAAGCTTGGACTTCACCTGAGCATGCTTGGGTTAAACAGTGTAGTGAAGGGTCAGGTTGGAAGTTTAAGTAAATCCTGGCCTCTCATTCCAGAAGGAGGAGAGGCAAAATTCCACATCGTTCTGCCAGAGTAAGTGAATCATTCAGAAATTAAAGCATCTACGTTACTAATTTAGGTTACTGGTATGTGTTTAGCAGAGTTTCAAATCGATCCAAAACAATTGAGAATAGTTGTATTGAATGGGTGAAATGTTAATTGGTTATTTTCAGTTGAAATGATTACAGCTGGGCGTGGTGGCTCAGGCTGGTAGTCCCAATACTTTGGGAGTCCAAGGCAAGAGGATCCTTTGAGCCTAGAAGTTCGAGACTAGCGCGGACAACATAGGGAGACCCTGTTTCTACAAAAAATGAAAAAATTAGCCAGGCATGGTGATGCACATGTGTCGTCCCAGCTACTTGGGAGGCTGAGGTGGGAGGATAGAGTAAGCCCAGGAGTTTGAGGCTGCAGTGAGCTGTGGTGGTGCCACTGCACTCCAGCCTGGGTGACAGAGAAAAACCCCATCTCCAAAAACAAAAAAGGAAAAATTTGTGACAATCAATTTCTTTCTGTATGCACACATGCACCTATGTGTGCATGTCCATGCACGCGCACACACACACAAACACACACATAGAGAACATGATATGAAGTAGTAAAGACTGGGATGGGTGGTAAGGGTGAAGAGACAGCAAATACAGAACACTCAAGTTTAAACTGTAACAGAGAAGAAAACCTTTAACCAGGGGTGGAGGAGGGACTCATGTAGAGAGAGTTACTACTTAAAACAGGGAAGGAGTAACCAAATTCCTAGGCCAAGGGTCAGGAGCAGAAGGATAGAGCTTGAAGCTACAGGAGAGAGCAGATGGGGCCCGGGCCTGGAGAAGACAGGTGTGCTGGAGAGCCACTCCCCAGTCTGAGTATGCCTACCTGCCCCTGGGCGTGTGTGAGCACACGGATTCAGATTCAGGAAGTCAGGCGGAGCCTGAGCTGCTGCATTTCTAACAAGATCCCAGGTGATTCACAGAGTTTGAGATGGACGGCTCTAGAACCTTGCTGTGCTCCAGTAACCTCAGCAGCACCTTGTTAGAAATGCAGATGTTCAGGCCCAGCCCAGAGCTGCTGAATCAGGGTCTGCACTCTATCAAGGTCTCCGGAGGATTACTAGGAACATTCAAGTTTGAGAAGCACTGCTCCAGGTCATACGAGAGGCAAGGTCATCTCCCGAATGAGAGGGAGAGAGGAAAGAGTTGAAGGCAAAAATTCAAAGAGCAAGCTAATAAAGAACAGGTAAAAGAATTGACAGGTGGCCACTGCCAAAAGCCCAGAAGAGGTCACAGACAATCTGCCACCTCGTCAACTGCTTTGGATACAAAGATACAAAGTGAAGCTTCTCTGCCTTTGCTCTTATATTGGGACAAAATACTTTCTATTATGATGCCGTATGCAATGCTTTGATTCGAGTATCCTTAAATAGAGATTTCTTTTAAGGAATTGTCTCACACAGTTGTGACAAGTCCAAAATCTGTGGGGTAAGACAGCAGGCTGGAGACACAGGGAAGAGTTGATGTTGCAGCTTGAGTCTGAAGGCTGACTGTTGGCAGAATTCACTCTTGCTGGGGGAAGCCAATGTGTTATTCTAGTTCATCCTTCGACTGATTAGATGAGGCCCACCCACATCAGAGATGGCAATCTGCTTTATTCAAAATCCATGATCTAAATGTTAACCCCATCCAAAAACACCCCCACAGAAATATTCAGAATGACTGTTGACCAAAGATCTGGGCACTGTGACCCAGTCAAGTTGACACGTAAAATTAGCCATCACAGACTCAGATCTTGTTGAGTCGTCTAGGTCATAGTTGCCACTAAGAGGGGTTGTAGGTAAGTAGTCCAAGAATAATTTCAGTCCTCTTATTGGAAATTCCAGAAAAAACAATTATATAGTTACTTTCTATTAGGATAGTCTAATTTAATGGGGTAAATTCTAAGCTCTGCTTCTAACTTGCTACTTGCCAAATTTACTTATATTTCATCTAAATAAAACCATAACAGCAAGTTTAGACTATTGATTCTATCAAAACCTCATCAATCCCTTTTATGTGTGACCTCCCTCCTCGGCCAGCCCTTCTCTCCCTAATTCTTCTCTGAACTCTTTTTTTTTTTTTGTATTTTTTGTAGAGATGGGGTTTCACCATTTTGCCCAGGCTGATCTCAAACTTCTGGGCTCAAGCAATCCACCCACCTCAGCCTACCAAAGTGTTGGGATTACAGGTGTGAGCCACAGCGCCCAGCTTCTTCTTGGAACACTTAAGAAACGCACAGGCTGTGGCGGCCATTGGGTAATTATCAACGCCTTCCATTGTTAGTTCTTCTCTCAGGTTTATGCAAGTAGCAAACAGCAAAAGTGAACAGTCATTTTAAATCTGTTATACCAGCACTTATCCATCCAAATGAATGTTCTCTTTTCCAAAGTAATCATTTATTTGAATGCTGCTTATATTAGTTTGTTCTCACACTGCTATGAAGAAATACCCGAGACTGGGTAATTCATAAAGAAAAGAGGTTTAATTGACTCACAGTTCTGCATGGCTGGGGAGGCCTCAGGAAACTTACAATCATGGAGAAAAGCACCTCTTTCACAGGGCAGCAGGAGAGAGAACGAACGCCCAGTGAAGCGGGAAGCGCCTTCTAAAACCATCAGATCTCGTGAGAACTGACTCACACTCATGAGAACAGGACGAGGGAACCACCCTCATGATTCAACTATCTCCACCTGGTCCCTCCCATGATATGTGGGGATTATGGGAACTACAATTCAAGATGAGATCTGGGCGGGGACACAGCCAAACCATATTACTGCTGCTATCGCTTGAAGCATTTTTGAAATTCTTTAGAAACTCCCTTTGAAAACTGACACACATATTATTTTGAATTTCTTCAACGGGGGCATAACTTTGCTCTTTGAGGATAGATTGGATATTTGAAACAGTAAAACGGCATTCAAGCTGATAATTAAGGTAGGCGGTCAAGTTGAGCAACATTATCTTTTAGCCAAAAATCAATCTAGTACCATCAGGCAATGAGAAAAACAAAAAACCAAAAAAAAAACCTCCCTCATTCTGTAAATCATTTCTGGACTTGCATTCTTGTTGGAGTAAGTGACTAGCCTCCAAGATCACTGAGAGCTTGGGTAAATCAATCACTTGGATCAATCAATCCTTAAATATTTGTTTTAAAACTAAATTTTGCCAGGCATGGTGGCTCACGCCTGCAATCCCAGCACTTTGGGAGGCCGAGGCGGGTGAATCACCTGAGGTCAGGAGTTTGAGACCAGCCTGGCCAACATGGTGAAACCCCGTTTCTACTAAAAATACAAAAATTAGCTGGGCATAATGGTACACGCCTGTAATCCCAGCTTCTTGGGAGGCTGAGGCAGGAGAATTGCTTGAACCCAGAAGGCGGAGATTGCAGTGAGCCGAGATCATGCCACTGCACTCCAACCTGGGCAACAAAAGCGAAACTCTGTCTCAAAAATAAGATAAAATAAAATAACTAAATTTTACATTACATGTAATTGGTTTTTATCTCCAGAACTGGATTATAAGCATCTTAGATGTTTTCCTTTTTGAATTTATCTCAGAGCACTTGTTTTATTAGTCTTATTAGCTTATATAAGGGTCTTCTTTTACAGGAGTGGAAGCTCCTTGAAGGCAAGGGCCATGTTTAGGCACCTTTGTATGCCAGCATCTACCTGGTGTGTGCACTCAAACATGTGTGTTGAATGAATGAAGATGAACTGAATGAATGAATGACTTGCTTAGGTCATTGTTGTCCTACAGATTGTATTGACCTTAAACTGTTAAAATATCAGCTTGGGCCACATTTATGCTCAGTGTGAGGCCTCTTTTACCCAGGAAGATCTGCTCCTAGACTTTTCATCAATTTTAAAGATTGCCCAATATAACTTCTTTGTGATAGTTACTAATAAAATACACTAGCACAGTGTATATTTCTTATAGGCAATCAATAAAACTTTGCTGAGTGAATATTGAATGGGTGAATGCATTTGGTACAGAGTTGACTGAAAAGAAGTTTTTAATGGTGAAAGAAACCTTCCAGATCTTTAGTCCATTCCTGGGGTGATACTGATGGTTTTTCTCAATTCTACTACTTAAAAAAAATCTTCTTTGTCAATTTTGTGAATAGAGTTTCTGTTTCCTTGGGAAGCATTTCGTATTTGATATCCACATAAGGTTTGTTTGCACTGGTTAACTTAGTTTACTGTTAATACTCTTCATGTTTTACTGAGTGTAATAATAAATGTCTAACCTCTTCTGTTACTAAGTAGCATTCCCCTTCTCTTTTCTGAAAGATCAGTATCGAATTTTATTTCCTTTCTTCAAATACTTCATAGCCCTGTTCTTCAAAAGGTTCTTCCTGAGAAAGTGGCTATGAAAACCCACAATTCTTATTGTAATTCACTAAGTTACAAGGCAAATACACCACCCACAAATCACAATGGAAAGCTCACATGAAGCCTGTCATAAATTTAATCAATTCTAGTTTGAATGCTAAGAAAAGTTTTAATTGTGAAAATGCGGTACATAATATTTCAAAAATAAATGGAAGGATCATCAGTAGTGTTATCAAAATGCATAACAGAAACTTTTTAAGAAAAGATAAAAAAATTACACTCAGGACCCATAACTCTTCCTCATTATAAGCATATGTAGTGATTCATTCATGCAGGTTTTTATATGTAGATAGGATTTTTTTCCTTTTCAAGAATTCCATTGTAGCCATGAGATGAAAAATGTATTATGGTGATGGTATAGCTTTCTTCCATTTTGCTTTTAGTGTTAGGATTGCTAAAAGCTTATTTAAAATTCCCAACTGACATAATGTGCTTTCAATAAGGAGGACACTGCCGTGTCCAATACCCTTCCCCTCTCATTGTTCGGTACTGTATCTCCTGGCTTCATTCTACATGGGTCACTTAGTTAAGAGGGAGGCCAAGGGAGTTCCAGTTTCAGGCAGTGTGTGGCAGGGTTACTGTCCTAGCAACCTGGCTGCTACTCCAGTGAATCTCACCGTGAACGTTTCTCATAGGTGTCATATGGCAGGATGAAAAACACATTTGCCTTCCGGTGAAAGATGGCACAGGCTTTTGCCCAGCCAGGTTGGCAAGAGAACAGAACTCTTATCCCCTTGCGCAATAGGTCTGAGTTCAAGGGGTTGGATGCCCCAAGCAGAGGGCCAAATCCTGATTTATGAAGCATGTTGGGTCAACAGCCAGGCAGACCACTCCCACACAGGCTGCTAGGAAAACTCCCACGGAACTGAGAAAAATGCTCAAGGTGGCAGAACTCTGTGGCCCTTCTGCCTCTTCGGAGAAGAGTTCAAAGTAGAGAATATCCCCAGCCCCACCCAATGCCATGGGACCAAGGCCTTTCCATCCTGGTAATCATAATCTTTAGGGGAATCAGCTGCCCTGGGAATCGCCTGCCAGGGCATCACATCCACAGAGGCAGAAGAGAGCAGCCCTCCGTAGAAGCCATGGAGGAGCCGGAGATTGACACGCAGGTGGAAGTTCCTGCCTCCCACCTCCTACCCTCCCCCAAGCCCATAGTCTAGCACAAGCCTGGAGTGTAGGAGCAACTGCTAGAATGTTCAGTCCAATCAGATAAATTGGTTGGGTGTCTCTTCAGATTCCAGAACACTTGGAAATGGTAATTCTGCCAAAAGAGGCTCTGTCAGAGACGATCTGGGTGACAGATTGCAGTTAAAAACGTCATCTATTGAACCTAAAAAACAGTAAACAAGGCTTGCATTATTACTATCACTGAAAGAAAAAAATAAAAGCCAACAGTGCCTTTCAAATTCATGCAACATAACTATTTCAATAATTAATAGAGAATCCTGGCTTCCTCAGAAAAATTCAAAAGGCTAAACAGAAATGTGTTGCTTTTTCTTTATTAGTAGGACAAGATTGTCACTTGCTTTCTTGTGGGCTGGAGTAAACTTGCAATGAGCTTGATATACTCGTTCACACTTGAGGGCCAAAGGCTTACATTTTGGGAACAGTTACTGAGGACAGAGGCCAGTTTTTGCAGGGGATGGAGCCAGGTTAGGGCCCTGGTGGCCCTGTGCTCTGCCTGTTGTGGTGCCAGGTTTGGACTGTGTGACAAGCAGGAGGTGTGACTTGGCTGTGCTGTCTGCAGTGCATGATGACAGCTTCCAGGAAGGTCCCTGCCGCACTCCTCTCAAGTTGAAGTGGCCCCGGGGCCGGCTTAGAGTAAACTTTTAAGGAAGCTCTGCCTAACTTCAAACGTTCCTCAGTGTCCCAAAGATGGGGTGGACACTCCAGGCAGTCCACAGGACAGAGGGTGAGCCATGTTGAAACCGGAAAATTCTGGGGCTGATAGGTGAACTGAGGGGTGTCAGAGAAAGGCCCAGGCACATATGGCACTGCAGCAAAAGGGCCAGTTAATCATCCCCTCCAAAAGGATCAGAGTATAATCCTCCACATGATTGCAATGGAGCAGAACACAAAGGCATCTTTGTGAGGAACTCCCAGGCAGAGAAAGCTGAAACAACATGGGAAGAATAGAAAGACAGAGAGACAGAGAAAGAGAGGGGAAAGAGACAGAAACAGACAGAGACAGAAATGGAGATGGAAGAGATGGAGACTGAAACGAAGACAGAGGTGGAGAAAGAGCAGGAGAGAAAAACACACAGAGAGAAAGAGAAAGAGATGGAGAGAGAGAGGAGGAAGGAGGGAAGGAGACAGGAAGAGAGAAAGAGAGAGACCACGTCTAGGATAAGAAATAGCTAGTAGCAAGCATTTTTGTTGTAAACATTTGAAGAAAGAAACACAAACTGTGGCCAGGCATGGTGGCTCATACCTGTAATTCCAGCACTTTGGGAGGCTGAGGCAGTTGGATCACTTGAGGTCAGGAGTTCGAGACCAGCCTGGCCAACAAGGTGAAAAACCGTCTCTACTAAAAACACAAAATTATCTGGGTATGGTAGCACACACCTGTAGTCCCAGCTACTTGGGAGCCTGAGACACGAGAATTGCTTATGCCCAGGAGAAGGAGGTTGCAGTGAGCCGAGATGGCGCCACTGCACTCCAACCTGGGTGACAGAGTGAGACTCCATCTCAAAAAATGAAAAACACACACACAAAAAAGCAAAAAACACAGGCTGTAAATACAATTAATGAGGACTCTATATTTTACAGGTGAACTCTGAGAACACCACAACTTCACAGAGACTGCTGGTTTTCTGCAATTAGCAGCAAGAGTCCTGGCTCAGGGAAGTTGCTCTACAGTCCAGGCTAGCAAAAGACAGACAGAACGGGCTCTGCAGAAGACACATCCAGACAAGCCGTGATTCATGCCACCTGCAGCCACAAAGGTGTCAATACCAAGAACTTGCCATATGTCATCAAGAGTGTGTTAAATGAAACCTCAAGAGTTATTCTTTTGTGCTCTGTCCAAATCTGGAGAACCCTTCCAAATACAGTGAAAGACTGATATCTTGGCTGGGCACAGTGGCTCACGCCTGTAATCCCAGCACTTTGGGAGGCTGAGGCGGGCAGATCACAAGGTCAGGAGTTCCAGACCAGCCCGGCCAACATGGTGAAACCCCATCTCTACTAAAAATACAAAAATTAGCCAGGCGTGGTGGCAGGTGCCTGGAATCCCAGCTACTCGGGAGGCTGAGGTAGGAGAAGCTGAGGCTTAAACCCAGAAGGCAGAGGTTGCAGAGAGCCAAGATCTTGCCACTGAATTCCAGCCTGGGCAACAAGAGTAAAACTCTGTTTCAAAAAAAAAGATTGATATCTTGACCACGTAGACCCCTCCCAACTCACCATTCTGTACAACAGAATGTGAACAATTGGAAAGCAGTGTTCTTTCTTAATATTTAAATAATTGCCAATAATATTTAAATGATCATTAATACTCATTTAAATTAATAATAATCTTTAAAGTTATTTTGGATTATACCACATAATATAATCCTGATGTCAGAAAACTTAAAGGGGCCCAAAAGGAAAAGTCACTACATTTGTTTTTGGTAATAAACATGTCCCACTTCTTACTTTCTGAATTTTGTGATCTGTTTCCCTTTTATTAATAGGTCTTGCCTTTTGAATCAATTGACTCTCTTCCATTATTTTATTCTACCCTTTTATTTAACTACTTTCCACATGTCCTTGGGAATTGTTAACATACCTCTGGAAGTTACACTGAACTTTCGGTCAGAGAAACTGCTCCTTCGGATTAAAGGCTCACTCATTTTTTCCAGAAATAACTTAATCGTCTCCTTCTTTTCTGGACTTGTACTTGACAAATTCAGAACTTTTCCATTTACTTTTACAATGGAATTACTGAGCCCAAACCAATAGAAGAAATCAAATAATGCGTCAGCTTTGAATTCATATGCAAAGCTTAAGTTTTCTCCATTAACCACTTCATTTCCCGGGGGGAAGAAATTCTTCACTGCCTCTTGAAAATCAAACTGAAAGAGAGAGGAACATTGCATTGACTTCCTGGACATAAGTGTCCTGTTGGTATTGTAGAACTAACAACCGCCCAAATATCCAAACATCATACCTTTTATTTCCCTTTCACTCTCACAGATATTTTTAAACTGTTGTCTTTATTTTTTCTAACAAAACTTTGCATTTGCATCGTATTCCATCTAAAAATTCTGAACTGCTTGGCCAAAATTACATGTATTTTTACCCCATTTCTAATAGGTCGCTAAGAACTAAACTCACTTCATTGGTAGCAATAACGCTACCTTCGAGAACGAAGTGTCTGGATGCACTTTGTTTTCTAAGGGCCATTCTCTTGGCCTAAGCCAGGGCAATAGGGCCTCAGTTCCTGCATGAAATGCATGAGCTCCTTCCAAGTAGTTGACATTCCTAGATTCAGACAGGCTAGGCTTACCTGAAGCCGGTAACTTTCTCCAATCACTGAGGAGATGACCATGTCCATCCCTTGCTCTATCTGTCTTCTTATCTTGGGGTGCCTTGTGTTCACAAGAAACGCGTATGTCCTTTCTAGAAATTAGCAAGCAGAATTCAGAAACAAGTATGTCCATGTGACATAAGCATGCTTCTTAGAATTTGCTATAGCAGTGTTTCCCGCCTCCTTTGGAGATTTTATTCATTTATAACCTTCCTCTCTGCTCCCTTACATCCTTACTACAAAGCCTCGCCAGATTTCTAGAAGTGTTTCTGAGAATTTTGCAGATTTGAAGGAGGTTCTGGGCCGCTATAAAGGCAGGCTAGACAATCAGCTCCCACAAGGCTGCGGTTTGTCACTGGAGTCTCAGAAATCAAAAATTCCACTCTATAATTATCACAGATGAGAAGTGTGCCTCCACAGCATGTATCCAGTGTGGGGAAGGAAAGTGAAAGATCGAGATAGCCGGTTTTCATGTTCCTGCCCTGCTGGATTTTTTCTTCTTCTTTTTTTTTTTTAGACAGAGTCTCTGTCACCCAGGCTGGAGTACAGTGATGCAATCACGGCTCACTGCAGCCTCAACCTCCTGGGCTCAACTGATCCTCCTGCCTCAGCCTTCCGAGTTGCTGGGACCGCAGGCATTCACACCACGCCTGGCTAATTTTTGTATTTTTTTGTAGAGACAGGGTTTCATCATGTTGCCCAGGCTGGTCTTAAACTCCTGAACTCACGCAATCTGCCAGCCATAGCCTCCCAAAGTGCTGGGATTATAGGCATGAGTCACCATGACTTGCTAGGTATTCAAATCACAACTTGGCTCTTACAGAAACTTTCTTCTTTGAAAAAGAAAATTTGCAAAGGTCAGGAAATGGGGCTGCTCCATGCTTTCCACCTCTACCCCTACCCCTACCCCATGCCCTGCTCTCCCCATTCTCTCCAGGGACCAGACATGCTTCTGACAAATGGCTAGTCTAGGGTTCTATGGACCAAGACAACTGGAGGTTGATTCTTCTCCCTGCCGCTACCTCTAACACAATCCCAAGTGGGAAAACATCTCCGTCTCATTGTTTAAATAATACCATGTGTCTGTCCTGCCAGACAGATTTTTTTGTTATTGATTGATTAGTTTGGTTTGGTAACCCCTCTTGTCCAATTCTGCATGATTTAAGCCAAAAGAAGGTTGTTTACTCATTAGGAAATATAAAATATTAAATATTAGTAACCAGCGACCTCTTAACTTTTCCAGGCCCCAGCATCAAGCTCCGTGGCCTTCATGACTCAGTCCTTGGTCTAAGGAGACACATAGATATCTGTGTTCTCCTCCATTTAACAGCCAGGGACCAGCCACTGTGTGAGTTTTAGAACTCAATGTTTTATACTGGCCTTGAGATATCTCAGAGACAAACCTTTGGTCCACCAACAGCAAGTGTTTACGTCCTCCAGGAAGGCATTTTAAACTAACCCTATTTATCTTGTTTTTCTTACCCATGTTTTACTTTCTCCCAAATTATTTTTTGGGCACTTTAGATATAAGCTGCCTTATATCCTCTTTAACACAATAGATAAACAAAGTAAGCAAACTGCTTGATACCTTGAATTAAATCTCACGTAAACCAAACCAACACCTCTGGGCTCATTATATACTCATGGCCACCACACTCCACAGTTGTACTGATGGGGGAGGTTGTACACTGCCTAACTCTAGAGGCTGTCATTCACATTTAAAGACATTATTTGTATATTATGACAAACTTGTGGGAAGCATTAGTAATCATCTTGAGGAAATGGTAGCCTTTTCTGATTTGCACAAAAGTGCAGTTTAAAATAACAGCAAGACTGGACATATATTGCCTTAATCACAATTTTGCAATTTAAAATTGATCATCTTAAGCTTTGTGTCATGGAGCCTCTTCATTTTACAGCTTTTATCACAATTAACTAGTACTGGGTTTCTGAATTCCTGCTGTGGCGATTCATTACATTATAGCATGCCTCAGACACATGCCTCCTTCCATAATAGTTGTTCGACAACTTCATACATTTTGTAGGCTACCTACAAATTCCTCCTTGTACCACTACCTATACTTTCATTAAAATGTTAAAATGAAGAGGGTTCTTACTCCTTTTTTAGATTCCTCCTGAGTGATGGATGCAGGAGGTGTACTTGATACAGCTGTGAATTACATTCCTAAAGAACTATCTGACTTTCTGGTTATAATCAAGTCAAGGAACACGTGGGCTTCAGATGTTCTAATGAGCATTTCTTGCTACTGGGCGTTCTGTTCCTGGCCTCTTCTGCAGAAAGAGCATCGTGACTTTTTATTGTCAAGTGAGCAGAGAGAGCTCCACAAATCTGAATGAGAGTGAATGTTTGGGAAAATCTATTTGAAATTCGTAGATCATTTCTTAGTCCCTTGGACTCATTTTAAGAATGTTAGTTAGAAGCAAGTTTAAGAAATTCTACTTCTACTACAGAACGTTATGCCCATGACTTCCCCCACATATCATTCTGAGCAGGAGGAGGAAGGCAAAATGGAGACATTTTCATACTGAAATCTGGTTTAATATAGTTGTTACCAGCTAATCTGATTTCTTGGAAGAAACAATAAAGAGATGTGTCTAAACACGACATTCCAACATCATAGCATGAAACAGAAAAGCATCCACAACTGCTATTTATTTTCTTAGTTTCCTCATCTATAAAACGGGAATAGTGTAAGTACCTCCTAGGTGGGATAATTATGCATCCTAGTTTGCCCGGGTCAGTTTATATCTTCATCCCAGAATAATTATTGATAGTAATGATGTTCATGTTCATAACGTCCTCAGTTGATAAGCCCTACAAAGTTGTTGTGCTGATCCATTACATTAGAGCACTTCTTAGACATAGTGTTTGATATGTGGTAGAGCATGTTATATATCATCCTCATCACTCTAGTCATTTCTGCAACCTCCAAAGTCTCAGAATGTCAGATCACTTCCCGCCTAGGCAGGAAGTAGAAAAGAAACCACCCAGACAGGTAGCTTCTGCCCTAGGATCATTGAGAGGTTTGTTCTGCAGGCCTGTCCTGTGCTTCAGGTGGCCTCACACACCAGGCTCCTTGCTGTCCACCTCGTCACAAGCTGATTTCTGCCCTGCTCATCAGCATGCCTCAGTCCACACCCCAGCCCAGTTTGGTCCCAGCAAGGACCAAACCAAAACTATGTAGATACTGATATGGTTTGGATTTGTGTCCCTGCCCAAATCTCACATCTAATTGTAATTCCCAGTGTTGGAGGAGGGGCCTAGTGAGAGGTGACTGGATCATGGGGGCAAATTTCCCCCTTGCTGTTCTCATGATAGTGGGTGAGTTTTTGCTAGATCTGGTTATTTAAGAGTGCGCAACACCTGCCCTTCTGCTCTCTTCCTCTTGCTCCATATAAGACGTGCCTGCTTTCCCTTCACCTTCCAACATGATTATAAGTTTCCTGAGGCCTCTCCAGAAGCAGAAGCCTATATAGCCTGCAGAACCGTGAGCCAATTAAACCTCTTTTCTTTATAAATTACCCAGTTTTAGGTATTTCTTTACAGTAGTGTAAGAATGGACTAAAATAGATACTTACCTTTTGAGGTGTCTTTTTTGGTCTGTACATTAATAAAGAACAACATTGGTTTGCTCAGTATAGTTTCCCTGTAGTCTTTATAATCACAGTAGTTGGTCAGTTCCACATACCTATGAAAAAGCAGAGATCATTGCAAATGTAACATACCGTTTCATCTAAGTTAGGAAGGGGATGTACTGGGCAGGTATCTGCCACAGCCACAGACCTTGGAGGGAAGTTCCTTGAAATGTGTCCTTACAGAGGTCACTATATAAGTGAATCTTTCTGGTCATGGCTGACTGGCTGAAGGATCAGCGTGCATCCCACAGCCATGGTCCTGGGGGTGTCCTGGCATCGATGCTTGGCTCTCAGTCTGTACCAGATGATCATCAGTATCATCTGTCATTTGGGCTAAAAGGGTTCATTTGAAGCAATAAGAGCTCTAAGTCCCTCTGAATTGAGAATGAATTCGACTTAAGTAGAATTAGCTGAATTTTCTCCAGGGGAGTCATCCTGTCTAACTTGTGGGCCTAGAGTTTGCCTTTCCTTCTCCCCACTTCCCTTACTAATCCCAAGATAAAGCAGCCCCCTCCATAGATTACGGAATCAACCAATATTCATATGAACTATTACTAATTCACATCCTCCCTATGCTGAGCTTGTGTAATTAAAAAACGAAAACAACTGATGTTAGACTTTTCACTACATCCTTGTTAAATTTAGCCTTTTTGGTTTTCATTCATTATTCTCATTTAGGAAGATCTTTCTGAATCCTGACTCTGTCATCCAGCATGTTAGCTTTCTCCCCTGCCCTTCACATCTTCCAAGCAGCCTAGCTACATCCCTATCTGCATTGTTGATAAAAAGGTCCAAGTGCAGATTAGCTTCCTTCAAGAAGCTGGCTGATTTTCTAACTAAACCCAAACTCAGATGCCATGTGGATGTAGGCAAGCTGAATGGCCCCCAGCGGGCTGAAGGATGCGCCTGCCGCAGTCTCTCTGAAATACGGAGCTGGTTCCCCATTGACACAGCTGCGAGCATCTGCACGGAGCGAATGGCTGGCTGAGCTGAGCACGCGGGCTGCCTTTTGCTACACCACAGCATGTTTGTTTCTTATATCTAGCCATCAGCAGAGACAGCTCCAAGCAATTCTTTCTGGCTGGTTGTCTTTCCAGTGCCTGACATGAAAATCACAGCCTTGGCGAGAAAACAGCCGCTGCAGGGAGTGGTGGCCACAGTACTCTCAGCATCCCTCCCCTGCGTCCACTTCCCAACGCCCCTTGGAGGGGCCAGCACACAAGACAGTGACCAGGGCATGTGTCAAGAGCATGCAAGAGAATATCTACCCTGAGGCAGGAAAACACAGCTTCCACTCAGCTGTCTCCCAGCTTGGTTTCTTAGAAATCTATGTCATTATCTTTCTGCTGGGATTGTCAGACCTGATTTTGAGAGCATTTAAAACCTGACCCCTGATGGAGCCTCTAAAATGCTTCCTGCCTTCTATTTCAGCAAGATTTCAAAGCAGTCTCCACCTCCTGCCACATCTGTAGTGGGGGCTGCTTTGGGGCTGTTCCTGGGGTGGGGAGGGAACATGGGGCTGCAGTGTTCCAGAGAACAAAAAGACCGGTGTGGAAGTTGACGCTCACAGAGCGGGTGAGGATGGCAGGAGTAGAGGAGAGGATGATGGGAATGGAGGAGGGGCGCTGGGAGGGGAGAGGATGATGGGAAAGGAGGAGGGGCGCTGGGAGGGGGAGCTGGGGTGTTACAAGGGAATAGACGGCCAGGTAAGAGAATGCAGGCCCATACAGGGCGTTGGTATGGTTCTTCCTTCACCCCTCCCCTGCCCTCATCCTCACCGGGGCAGACCAGGAGAAAGGGGGTGAGATGGGGGAACCTCAGCAGACTGAGGGGAGTGGTGCTGGTGTTGCACATCAGCTGGGAGAGAATTTTCCTGCCCTTTTTATCCCAGTTGACCAACTGCCAAAAGTTACTAGAGAAAGAAAGCAAAGGAGAAGGCGGGAAAAAGAAAACCACCATTTGCTGGGCTCATTCATTCATTCACTCAGCAGCTTCACTGAATCCCGCTGATGAGCCAGACACCAGGTGAGCATTTACATGTGTCTCATTGCCTTATCATGCTGGAGGGGCTCAGAGCCCAGGAAGGGGGCAGTGGAAGGAGGCAGTGCAGGGTGCCCCTGTGCTCGCCCATCCCTCTTGCCATCCATCTATTCAGCTGCCAAACGCCCGGCACAAATATAGATATTTCAGAATTACTAATGCAAATATTGCTTCTACATATTGAATATTTATCATAGTTGCTGAAGTTATCATTAGGCAGGCAGGCAAGAGTGGCTGGGGAAGTGGGTGAAGAGAAGGTGAAGTCTGTGGTTACACGGTGGGGTGAGGTTATAGGTGGAGAAAGAAAGCCCCTGCAGCAAAAGAGGAAGAAAAGGGCAAGTCTGGTTTACATAAACATAAAAAGATAGCTGGGTGATGCAGGGGCAGGGGCAGGCTCCACCTGTGACCCACTCGAGGCAGGTTCCCCTTTCTCCTACCACCCTGTTTACATGGAGTTCAGTCATGGTCATTTCAGCTCCTTTAGTATATTCCTCAGGGTGATTCCTCTATTCTCTCAATATCTGGAGTCCAATTGTCATTCTTAATGGCAAGCGCATGGCATTTGTGTACAATGCATCCAGAAAATCTGCAGTTTTGATGCCTTTTCTGATGACACAAACGCCAGTACAATATTTCCCTCTGCATACAAAATTGATTGATAGCTGATGGGTCAGTGGTTCCACAGATAAAAATCTCAATTAACAAATGATCTCTGGTTCAGAGGATAATCAGTTTTCCCTGGAATTTGGTGGAAGGTTTTTTCAAATGCTACTGGGCTCAAAGAGCTGGTATTTGGCCTGGTCACAGAAGGAAACCTGCTGGAGAGCTGTGTGTTGAGTGTAATCTGTGACCTACACATGAGCTATCCATTTTCGAGCCTGAATTTCATAAAACACCTTCGATAATAAAACTACATGCAACATAATTTAATCTGCCTTTGATGATTCAGGGGTACTTGAATTTCAGCTCCTTAACAGGCTGTAAACCTCATCACAGTGCATGCCAGTTATCACTGTACCACAGATGTGTGAAAACACTGCTTATAGAAGATCTCTGATGCCAGAACCGACAGACAAGAGATTGTAGCAAGATCCCTACTTAATAAGCTCCCTATCTCTAACCAGACCACAGATAAGGAATACCTCATTAATTCCTCCATCCCCAGCCTCCCGGTTATGGTCCAATTTTTAAACACCTTGAAATTCCATTGAAATAAATAAATGTGAGCATTCACTAAAATACAATAAGATCAGAGAATTTAGTTGTTAAGGGACACAGATATTTAAGTTTCTGACATATAATCACTGGTTTTAGTTTAAGACTATCCTTACTAGATTATATTAGGGACTAGATATTCGATATTCTTTGTTTGTTTGTGTGTTGTTTGTTTGTTTTTTGAGATGGAATCTCACTCTGTCGTCCAGGCTGGAGTGCACTGGCACAATCTTGGCTCACTGAAACCTCTGTCTCCCAGGTTCAAGCAATTCTCCTGCCTCAGCCTCCCAAGTAGCTGGGATTACAGGTGAACACCACCATGCCCAGCTAATTTTTGTATTTTTAATAGAGACAGGGTTTCACCACATTGGCCAGGCTGCTCTCGAACTCCTGACCTCAAATGATCTGCCTGCCTCAGCCTCCCAAAGTGCTGGGATCACAGGCATGAGCCATCACACTGTGCCTTTAATCATAGATATTTCAGAATTACTAATGCAAATATTGCTTCTACATATTGAATATTTGTGATGGTTGCTGAAATTATCATTAGGAATGAAAAGCAAACACTTTAAGATAGGCTCTTAAACTCTCATTTCTTCATTGCTTTATCCTGGCCCCAAAATGCTTCTGGGGTGAAAGTTTCTAAGCTTGGCTTCAATCCAAAGATTAAAAGGCAGGACAAGTCCGGGCGTGGTGGCTCACATCTGTAATCCCAGCACTTTGGGAGGTCAAGACAGAGGACTGCTTGAGGCAAGGAGTTATAGACCAGCCTGGGCAGCATAGTTCCAGACCAGCCTAGGAAAACCTTGCCTCTACAACAAATTTTTAAAATTAGCCAGGTGTGGTGGTGCATGCCTATACTCCTAGCAACTCAGGAGGCTGAGGCGGGAGGATTGCTGGAGTCCAGGAATTCCAGGCTGCAGTGAGCTATGACTGCACCACTGCACTCCAGCCTGGGCAACAGAGCAAGACCCTATCCTAACAAACAAATAAACAAACAACCCAAAGCAACCAACCAACAACAACAAAAAAAAAACAAAAAAAATAACCCCGCAGGACAATGTAATGGGAAGTACAGTATTTCAAAATAAGATTGAATTCATGTCCTAATTTGCCGGCTATGTGAACTCAGTTCCAGAGCCACAACTCACTGTGACCTTGAGGGGCTTCTTTAACCTTCTGCACCTGTTCACTCATCTGTGGAAAGGGCATAACAGTATTTTTTTCCCTCATGATGAGGAAATGCAGTACATGCAATGTAGACATGTGAATTTGAACCCATAGTAGATGCTTAATAAACATCATGAGTGTCTCTAATCCTGGCCAACTTGGCAAACCCATAGGATGAAGTTCTGTAAACTTCTGACTCCCAACCAGGGCTGTGTTCATTTAAGTTCCCAGGAAATTAGGAAAATTTCAGCATCTGATAAATGAGCAAGAGTTGCTCCTTCCTTGTTCCAATTTCTTTCCTCATTTTTTCAGTTTAGGAGGCTAAAGGGAACAACTTAATGACAGCAACATCTGAAAAGGAGGACCAAAAAAAGAGCATTGTGTTTTGCTTCTAGCAAATCAGGAGTCACTGAAAGATGGCCCACCTCTAAGACACCCACCTTTCAAAGCTGCCCCAAATTTCCCTTGGCTCTAACAATTTCTGCTCAATGACAGATAGGAATTCAAATCCTCCATGAACTCCATCAAAGGGCGGAGTGTGTGTGTGTGTGTGTGTGTGTGTGTTCATTAAAAATATATATGGACAGTTGAGCAGAGACAAAGAGGAACACACACTGCAATAGTCTGT